ACATCCTCCTCCTTCCTTTCTGGCTCTGGCAGCACCAGCGTGTCCCTTCTCAACCCTGCTTTCCCTAGGCTTTTGCCATCCCTCTAGGTTTTCTCCATCTTCATGGGCTTGTTTTCCCTGGTGCCTGGATGCCATCCTAAGATTCATGGGGCAAACCTAGACCTCGGGGCTTTCTATGTGAGGCTGAATTGAGTAAGTAGAGAGGGGGAAACTGAGGCACGCTGGGGTAAGAACTTCTTGCAGGGGCACACTGGGCTGGGAGAGACAAGTCAGGGCCCCTGGCTCACTGTGTTCAACCACAAGACTGTTCACATCACACCGCAGAGGCAGCCCCACAAGCTGTCTTCTCCCCCCATGCCCGCTGCCGGAGCCACAGCGTTGGGCTCCCCCTGCTCCTTTGGGAAGGGAAATGTTTTCCCTTTCCCCTCCCTTCCCTGCTCGCCAGCTTGAGTCCGGTTTCCCCTGCATGCTGCCGCCAAGCGCCTCTGGAACCGCTGGAAAAAGCATAAAAGGCCTGGGCAAGGCTGCAGTGAGGGTTACTCGCAGTCACAGCTGGATCCAGCTGCTGATTTAAAGCAACAGCACGGCCAAACCGGGCTCCCCAGGAGACCTAGGCATCCCAGGGGCACAAATCCCCCGGGGAGAGGAGGCAGCGTCCTTGCGGGGAAGCAGCCCCCAATCTGGAGAGGAGCCTTTCCACTGGGGAAGCTGAGGAAGCGGCATCCCCAGGAGGCAAACTCTTGGGTGGATCTGGCCCCAGGAATTTGCTCCCCCAGGTTTGCTGAGCACTTTAACCTGCCCTGCTCCTGCGGCTCCCGGCACAATCTCCTGTCCCACCGGGGGACATGGCTGCTACATTATCACCGACACCATGTCCCTACCCTGTCCCCTGCCTTGCCCCAAGCCCGAGGCACTCGGGTCTCCCCCCATCCTCCAACATTGTGGCTGTGGGGTCCATGTCCCCCCTCCCTGAGCACTGTTCTCTCATGGGGTGGCCCAGAGGCAGGTTGGGACTGCAAAGGGCAACAGCAGCTTGGGGCCCTCCAAGCTGGGAGGGGGCTGGCATGGCCATCACCCTTCCCTCCTCCCCTGTTTTTGGAAGCAGTCATGCAGATCCCGGGGGGGGCGGTTGATTCAAAGCAGGGCAGCGGGTGCTGCTTTTGGCTGAGGCTGGAGGTGTTTCAGCAGGCTCTGGTGTTTCAGTGTGAGGTCGATGGAGCAGGAGGGAGAGCCTGGCTTTGGGAAGGCAGAAAACCTCCTCCCACCTCTGCCTGGGAGCCCAGCTCTGGAGAGGCGCTGAGATGGAAAGGGCCACGGGGCCCTGGGGTTAAAGTCTAAAATAACTCACCCCACACTCAGCATCTCGTTTATGGTCCTGTTAATGATGGGCAAGCAGAGGAGAGAGCTTTCTGCTGGGGGTGGCTGTCTTTCCTGGCATCTCACATCAGGTACATGACGTTTGCCTCAACTTCTAAACTGGTGGCATTCACCCAGCAATAAACCAGGGTAATTATTAATCCTAACCACGCAGGGGGCTTTCTCTGAGCAAGGACTGGGCTGGAGGTGGCAGTGCCAGTCCCTGGTCATAGCCCCCAGCATCCCACGTGGGAGCAGCGGTGACGAGCAAACCTCCCCGGATTAGTCTCTACCTGCCAGCACAGCCCCAGCAGCATCATGAAAGGTGCTTAGAGAACAAATGTGCAAAGAGAAAGGAACGTTCCCTGTCCTATCGCATCCAGGATGTTTGCCCACAAATGCCTGCAAAGTCCTGACGCAGTGCAAGTCTGGCTCAGCTAAACAAATAGCAGCCTTGGCCTCCCTCCCCAGCCCCGGGGTACGTCACAGGTGCGTGGTTTATCAAAGGAAAACCTAAATGTGTGACCACCCAGTGCTACCGGTCTCGGGTCAGGCTGAGCCCTTGGTACCGCTCCAGGCGCTCGGAGGTTTGGGGAGAAGAGGGCTGGTTTGGGTGTCCCCACAGGGCGACGGGACCTTGGCTTCTGTGGGAAACCCAGCCCAGGAACAAGTGGCCGGGAGGTGTGAGCATCTCCAGGAGAAGGGATGAGGCTTTTTTCTGTGTATGTATAATTTGCTGAAATGGAAAGAAATCAGAAAACAACACTAAAAAACCCATAGAAAAGAAACCAGGGCAACTTTTCCCTGTGAAACAAAACCCAAACCATCAGTGGGAAAACATTGGCTGGGTCAATCTGCCACAAGCCAGTCTTCTGGGATTAAATAAACTTCATCAAAAAAGCTCACTTCTTTCTTTGTACTCATTTTTTTTTATAAAACATTTTAATTCAGGTCCACTTTGAAATGAAAAGAGGCTTCTTGAAACAAAAAAAAGCATTGTGGTTTGCTTTGAGAACATCTAAATGAGCCATTTCAGCACCGCCCCAGTCCTTGCCCTTTCCCTTTGCCCAGACAATGCCCCATAGCCCTGTTAGATGTCAGCTCCAAAGCCTTGTGTCCCCACAAGTCGCTTGTGCCCATCTCCGGCGGTGACCCTGGGAGGGATGCTTGGGTGAGAAGCAAGTGTGTGGCACTGGTACTGGCCATCTCCAAATGGATCCTGGGAGCTGGCAGCCAAGGAGGTGGCTGCTGTCATCAGGAGCTGATGTCACCCCGGCCATGACTTGGGTATCACTTGCATTACCTTCCCTTCTGCATCCCCATACAATGCAACAATAACATGCCTGGGTGTTATTTCTTGCAGGTCTCCTGCCAGCTCTCATGGGACTGCGGTGGCTCAGCATGCCTTGAAATATCACCAGCATTGTGCCAGGCAAAGAAGTTTGGCTTTTCCGTGCCCAATCAGCACCTGCCACTCAAGAGCCTTTCCCTGAACACCTGCAGCTCTGCCAATGGGGCCAAAAAGGTGCCTCCGAATTTCAGTCCGGTGGCTTAGACCTAAGAAATAAGGGCACTGGGTGCTGCAGCAAAGGAGGGGCAGGGCGACAGATCCAGCTGCTTTGCTGAAGGCAGAGCTGGGCAGGAACAGCAGGGATCTGCTGATGGCTGGGTCTGCCTGTGGTGAAGTGATGCTGCCCTCAGTTCATTTTTGGGTGAACATAAAAATTCAGGTTTCTCTTTTTTCAGGTTTCACTCTCAACAGAGGTTGCTTGGGTAAAAGCTATTCTTGCTGGCCACTGGAAAGAGGCAAGCAAAAGGTGTGTGGAGGATTTTTTTTTTTTAAAAATGCTTTCAGTTTTGTTTTAGTCTTCCTGATGTCTTTCTGCTTTCTCAGGGTGAATCTGGAGAACATGAAAGCTTGGGTTTATCCTAAACTTTCCTATGTAATGATGAAGGGAAAGTAAAAAATGATGCTTCATCTTAAGATTCAGCCTTGAAACAGAGCTGGCAGTGCCAGGGATGCCAAGGACGGTGCCTATCTCTCTCATTAGTAGCCCCAGACCTGACACTATTTGAGTCTTTAATGACTATCAGAAGTAAAGCTTTGCGCAGCCATCACTCCCCAGGTCTGCAGTGCTCTCACACAGTGGGATGTGCATCTCTCTCACACAGAGGGAGGTGGGAACGAGGTCTGCCTGTGCAGAGGGGGTTAGAAACATAACTCTGCACAGCAGCACGGAGACCATCCGGTAAAGCTCGCAGTCCTGCCGCTTTCCTGCACGGAAGCAGGCGTTGGAGAGGCGGGAGCCTGGGAGCATGGCTGGCAGAGCTCCCTGCCGCAGGCTGCCGGGAGTCCTCCTCGCCCCGCAGCAGTGCCACTGCCACACCGGAGCGGCACGGCCCACGGGCACGCTGCATCGCGACCAGCCCTGGGCTTGCTGGCCCGCTGTGCTGATGCTGGGGGAACCCAGCGAGCCCCGGGAGCCTGTCGCACACCCACAGCATCTGGGTGTCCCTACGGGTGGAGTAAAACCCAGCAGGGATGCTGCCGTCCCTGTCCCCATCGTGGTCCCAGGGCACGTTGCAAGGAGGAGGTGATGGCTGCACTTTTGGGGCTTTGATGTTCACATCCATTTGTGCCTGTTTGTGAAGGGAATGTTCTCCAGTGGGGTCCCCATGAGCCCCTCTTTGCAGAGTGGGGTGAATTCCCAGCCATGGCAGCCCTGTACTACAGGGATGAGAGGAGCCCTTCTCACATCCTGCTCTGGTCAATATGACAGGCAGTGTGACTCTTCTTTCTCTGTGCATCTCACAGCCACGATTTTCTTGTGGCCATGAGATCAGAAGATGCAGAGTTTCCTATGGGCAGCAGGAACAGACTAAAAAGGAATCAGGGAAGGTGCGTAGGGACCTGTGGTGGTGATAAGGTTGTGGGGTGCTGCAGAGCTGGTGCAGCCTGTTTGGGCAGTGTTTCCCTGGGAGCTTTCACAGCCCCCAGGACGCAGAGCTGCAGGGCATCTAGGAAAGCATTATAAGTCAAGATAAGGAGAAGCGGGTCTGGAGGAAGCCACGCAACTTCCCTCCCCAGAATGAGCTGGATTTGGGGTTTTCTGGGAGCAGGGCCAAATGCTCTTTGAGTAGCAGAGGTTGCATAGGTCCCAGTGTGTGTCCAGCCTCGGAACAGAAGAACCTTTCCCATGACAAGCTCAGTGTGTCCAGAGGTTTGTGAAAGCTGTGGGAGACTGGCCCTCAGCACTTGTGCAAAATGCAGAGGGGCTGCAGGGAAAGGAATATATCTGCTGGGCAGGAAAGGAAATATCCCAAAGGATTTCCTGCAGGCTTCCCAGTGTGGCTTCGTAGTTGACATGAGTGGCTGGTGGGGATAGGAGGACGACAAAAAGGGAGACATCATAAATGATGGGACTGATTTTCATGGCTGAAAAAGCCCCTCAACTGAAATGCTACATTTAAGAGGAAAGGAAGGTCTTAAATCTGCTTCTCAATGGGCAGTGGGATGTCCCATGCTGCAGCAGGGATGCTGGTGAAACACTTCTCCGAACCAGGGCTGAAGGAAAAGTTTGGAAGGACACCTCACCTGCCTGTGGTGCAGGTGGAAATTCAACCCATGACCAGGTCCTGGCATGCCGAGCAGGCACCATCCTGCAGCAGCAACCCTTTCTCTCGACCCCCTGCACCCCCAGGTGAGGTGTGGGTCCAGGAGATGTGTGGGGCCTGGGTAGAGCGTGGGGGCCTGGTGAGGTGGGAGTCCTGGGCAGTGTTGGTCCCCAGCAGGGTGTGGATCCTGAGCGAGATGCGGGTTCTGGGAGAAGTGTGGGTCCCAGGAGAAGGGGGGGTGTCCCAGGTAAGGGGGAGATTCTGGATAAGGGGGTGGGGTGGTGTGGGGTGGGGGTGAGGTGTGTCCCAGGAGATGTGGGGGTCCATTGCTCCAGGGATCCCAAACCGTGCTGTGCACAGAGGCAAAGCTGGGATCTCAGTGTCCTTATGAAAACTGGGGTTGGGCCCCAGCTCCCTTTTGGGATTCATCCCAAAGTGACCTGCTGGGAGGCGGGGGCAGAAAAGACCCACATTTCTTTTCCAGAGATCAAATCCCAGCTGCCGAAAGCACCTCTCCTGGTGAGCTCTGGGATCCCCTTCCCATACGTAGGATCCTTTGCAATTACCAGCCCATAGCTGTTAATTTGTTAATTTGCAATTACCAGCCCGTGGCAGCTCTAACGCCCCCCAGAGAGGGCACTGTGCCCGGGGGTGCAGAAGACCCTGCGGGGTGCTGCGGTGGGAGCTCCCAGCTCCTGGTGGGTGTCCCATCAGCAGCGGGGAGGGTGTCCAGGGGGAAGTGTGGGGTGTCACCCTTAAACTCCTCGCGGCAGTACTGGGGATCTCTGACTGCTGGTGCGGCTGAGGGGGCGACGGAGGGGCAGGGCAAGAGTTAACCTACCTGCTCTGCCATCCCTCTTGGCTCCACCTCGGAGACCGAGGGGAGGGAAAAGGGAAAAAGTAGGGGAAAAAA